CTCTGACAGACGAGCAGAAATGCACCTGTCTGTCTCTTTGCATAAACGCACCCGGTTTTTCACGCTCACTGAGCTCCTGGCCCTGCCCTGACCTCTCCCTCGCCCCGAGCTGCACTTGTCCGTACGGCCAACTACATCCAAGTAACACAAATGTCATCCGGAGACATTTCATTTGCCCTTCAGAGCTTCTACAAAGTTCAACATTACCCTTGAATGGAGCATTTAACACTCAGCTCTCACTAGTCAAATTCAAGGACTGCCTCACTGGTTGTCTTTGGGAGAATTAGGGGACATAATATTGCTGTGTGTTCGGGGTAAGACGCTCCAAACTAGGCATCATAGAGGCACCACTTTCTAACTTTTGTCAGGTTAAGACAACAAGGCCAAATAACCTTTTAAAACCAACGTAGAAACTCAAACATTCCTCAGGATGGAAGTCAGCAGCTCGGTAAAGAGAAACATCTATAGGGGTAAGCATTAGAGTTGGACCTGCTGCAAAAGAACTGACCCATCATGTGAAGCTTTTAGCACAAGCTCAGGCAGGAATATTTGTGTAATTTCCTCATGGAATCAGGAATGAATTCACTGGGTTATTCAGCGTTTGCAGGATGCTCTGTCAGCCGGTGAACAGTGCAGCTGATAGTTTCACTGAGGTGCATTTGAAATACCTGTTTTGTCTTCTTGATGCCACTGCAGTGATCTTCATCCCTCCATCACTCCACAGAGTAGAGGCCACGTTCCCCATGGGAGATCTCTCAAAAGGCTGCAATTTGCCACAATACACTGATATCACGGACTGACTCAAAGAAAAATTACTTTTAAATGTTAAAATAAAAATCTGCATTTCGCTTACTTCTGGTGTCTTTCTTCACCGAGGTACTTTCAAAAATCTTCACAGCCTCAATTGAATTTTAAGGTCTTTGATGCTCATGGAAACCTGAATTTTATTAAGAAATAAAGTTTTAGGTTTGATGTAGCAAATGGTTTTTCTTCACCTTTCATATAAACACATATGACATCTAGTAACAAATATCAGTGGTTGAAAACCGGGGTGTTTTTGTCACAAGTTTAGTCAGTTAAACATTACTCCACGAGTAGCTTTTACAGACTAAAAAAGTCTGAGGATTTGTCCTGCAGTGTTTCTCTCTCGCTCCCTCTCACAGCGCCTTCAGCAACATCTCATGTCTGGTCAAACCTGGGGAAGTGTGGCTGGCTGAGCACGTTAGGGTCGACTCATTCCTCGCGTGAGAATCAAGACAGCTGCAGAGAAACCAACAAACGCACGCTCACACTCGAGGATGCTTGTGTAACACACTGACTGTGTGCATCACAAAAGCTGTCCCAGTTTTTAAAGCACAAGTGTAACTAGCATTACCAGAGATGACTACATGGTTTTGGGTGGCCTTGTATAGCTTTTTAAGACTCATATTTTCCATAAATAAACATCACGGGACTTGATGACAATACACAGAGTAAGATTCATAACATAATTGTCTATTTCACCCTAAAGGATCAAGCTGAAGCCTGCAGAATTCCCATTTGAAACTAGACTCAAAACATCAGACTTAGTTTCCTTCACTCATTTAGTCCAGATTATTCTAATCCAGTTCATAAAGATTTAAAGCATGCAGGAAGTAAATAGGGTCTTATGTTGTTCCCCTAAAGAGACAGAGTTCAGTTTTACAGTTTAGTAAAATGTCCTGTGCAGTAAAAGGAGCCAAAACCACTGAAGTCTGATTTTGACCTGTGTGTGATTTTGCAAAGGCGCATTAATTAATTTCATCGTAATAGTTGCTTATGATCTATTCCAATATTCAACATTTTCTGACATCAACTTTGCTTTGTAAGACGCTGTGACACTGCTTCCTATTTTTGGTGACAGCAGTACACAATATTGTTAGAAAACTTTGCTCTCCAGTCTTGATTTTGTTAATTACAGGCTTCATTAATTAGAAGTAACTAAATGTCAGCTGTCATCCTTAAAGTAGCTACAATGATTTGCTGCAGTATAAAGTCAGTATTTATAATGTAAGCATATTATTTTTACATTTTCCTCTAAGGAAAATGTAAAAAAGTGTAAAGTGTAATAATTATTCAGTTCTTGTTTTTTCCCCTTGCAACAAATTGCTACAGGACCCAGACTTGACTCAAAAGCAGCTAAAAAGGAACTTCAGTCTGCTGTCCACTTTTCAACACGTTTGACTCGTTCATGTTTAACACGAGAAGAAAACAAGTATTGCACCAAAATGTCAGGAACTTGAAATATTGCATTTAATCCCTCCCTCTCCGTCGCCTCCCACGCCTCCTGTCAGTGTCCACTGTCAATTGTAAAAGAAAGAAAAATGACATTTACAGAATCTATGTAATGGCATCTAGACATCACCGAGGCCCTGTCTGAGTCACTCCTGTCCCACCTCACTGTGTATGGGTCAGCTTAGTCCAGGCCGCTGTGTTCTGCTTACCTGTTTATTGATGAGGGAGTAGCAGTCTGTTTATGGCACGTCGCTCTGCTGGGGTTCTCAAACTTTGCCTTTAGCTGTCGGAGGAGCCCTGCTACAGATGGAGGGCTAAGCCTGCGTGATCTCCCCTCACTGAAGGCAGGAAATTAGCTGCGGTGAGGCTGATATTACCAGGTGGCATGTGAGTGAGAATATTAAAACATTTGTTAAGAGAACTATGCAAAAGGTCTGCCAGTGGCAACAGAGATGTGATGATGCATACCTTAACTTTGATATGTGTAAAAGCTGAAGCTGGACAGTCAGGGCTGGCATCATGTTCAGGTTATCTTGAATGAAATCAGATCAATCTGTGGTGTGTGAACCTCTCGTTTCGTCACCCACAGCTCAGACGTTAATAAGTTGAGCATCAACAAGAACAGCGGACATCAGGGTTATCATGATCTCCAGCAGCACTGTGGTGTCTCTCCAGTTGAAAGCAAACAACTCACAAAGTTTATAAAAAAAAACAAAAAAAAACATATAAACACCAAATGTATGTTTTTCTTTGCTTTGTAAGATTTTCAGTGGAACCCATAAGCTGACCGTTATCATTTAATACCCCCCAGGAGTGTCATGATTTTAAGTTTTGATACAAAGTAATGTTTTTCCATCTAATCTGAACCCCCCTATAATAAAGATTTATACGCCCTTCATAACAGACCTTCACATAGCCGAAGAATTTGAGTAAAACAGATCACACATTAAATCATCGGAACAGGGAAAAGACTTGTGTGTGTATGTCATGACGTATTTCAACAGATTTCCGGGCAAGACAAATTGATGTTCATATTCATATATTTTATATAATGTATATCAAACTAAAACTAATACAGCATCAAACTTAAAAAGGATCAAGAGAAAAAAAAGAAAAGAAAAACCTGAAAACTGAGCAATCCATTGGCTTGTGGAGCAGTGGATGTTAAAACCAGGGGGAGTGGAGACTGAAGGGGCACAGCAGATGCTGTGGGTGTCCCACCAAGTCCCATTCCCCGTGGCAGACAGTGGATAGAGGGGTGCAGGGGTGGAAGGTGGGGCAAGGGAGGGTAGGGAGAAGGTGGGAAGTAGAGCTGGGGAAGGGTTAAGGGGGTAAGTACAGGTGGAGATGAGACGGCCCAGACTTCTGCAGGGCAACATCTCTTCTTGCTGTTTATTTTCTTTCTTTTTTTTTTTTTTTTTTTTTTTTTTTTTTTTTTCTTTTTAGCTTTTTTTTGGATTTCAAACACAAAAACCATGTTCTAAAAAAGCAGCCTTGGTGTGTTGAATGTGGAAACAAGGGGGACCAAGTCCTTGTTTTTTTTTATTATTTTTTTTTTTTTAATTTGTAATAAAGTCCTGCGCAGTTGGCAACAGAGATGTGATGATGCATACCTTAACTTTGGATATGTGTAAAAGCTGAAGCTGGACAGTCAGGGCTGGCATCATGTTCAGGTTATCTTGAATGACAAAGATAAATCTGACTGTGGTATGTGAACCTCTCGTTTCGTCACGCCACAGCTCAGACGTTATATAGAGTGAGCACATACAAGAACAGCGGACATCAGGGTTATCATGGATCTCCAGCAGCACTGTGGTGTCTCTCCAGTTGAAAGCAAACACTCACAAAGTTTATAAAAAAAAACAAAAAACATTATAAACACCAAATGTATGTTTTTCTTTTGCTTTGTAAGATTTTCAGTGGAACCATAAGCTGACCGTTATCATTTAATACCCCCAGGAGTGTCATGATTTTAAGTTTTTGATTACAAAGTAATGTTTTTCCATTTATCTGAACCCCCCTATATAAAGATTTATACGCCCTTCATAACAGACCTTCACATAGCCGAAGGATTTTGAGTAAAACAGATCACACATTAAATAATCGAAACGGGAAAAGACTTGTGTGTGTATGTCATGACGTATTCAACAGATTATCCGGGCAAGACAAATTGATGTTCATATTCATATATTTTATTATAATGTATATCAAACTAAAACTAATAACAGCATCAAACTTTAAAAAGGATCAAGAGAAAAAAGAAAAAAGAAAACCTGAAAACTGAGCAATCCTTGGCTTGTGGAGCAGTGGATGTTAAAACCAGGGGGAGTGGAGACTGAAGGGGCACCAAGCAAGATGCCTGTGGGGTGTCCCACCAAGTCCATTCCCGTTGGCAGACAGTGGATAGAGGGTGTGCAGGGGTGGAAGGTGGGGCAAGGGAGGGTGGGAGGAAGGTGGGAAGTAGAGCTGGGGAGGGTTAAGGGTGTAAGTACAAGGTGGAGATGAGACGGCGCAGACTTCTTCAGGTGCAACATCTCTCTTCTTGCTGTTTTTATTTCTTTCTTTTCTTTTTTTTTTTTTTTTTTTTTTTCTTTTTTTCTTTTTAGGACCTTTTTTTGTTGGGAATTTTTTA